AGTTGCTACCCCTTCAACAAGCTCAGACATCTCATTAATATTATAAAATTGCTTTATAATTGGTTTATTTAGTTAACTTGTTTTTTTTTATATATGTAAACTTTATGGTAGTGAATGCCGGACAATCTCCTTACAAAGGAAGAGAAAACTTTAAGCAATAAAAATGTGGTCCTACAGAAGGATGATGAGGATACCATGGACTGAACATATGAACAAAAACGAAGATTTAGAAAAATGTGAACAAAACGGACATTTATATTTAATATCGGAAAGAGTGAGTTGAAATTTCTAGAACACATAATGAGGAAAGAGAGCTTGGAAATTTGATACGCACAGGGACATTTGGAGGCAAGAGAAAAACAGCCCATAAGCTATCTAACGAGCTTGAGCAAGTGGATGGCAGGACAGGGTTTAGAAGAGATAACAAAAATTTTAAATTTCCTAAGAGCTAAAAAGGACAAGAAATTGTGGAGAGCCATGATTAGTAATGTTCTGATGGAACACAGCACACAGAAGAAAACTTGACTGATTTTAATATCTCCAATAGTTCGTATTTTTGAGGTTTTTCTCTTGCTGATAACCACGTATCGTGCTTCCTTATACCTTAATACTTTCTCCTCGCTTTCATTTATTATCTTCTCTAGGGGGTCCCTGTAGTCCTTCTTCTGTGTCTGCCATCAACACAGTGTCATCTACTTATCTGATGTTATGAAGCTTGTAATCGGAGAGAACAATAGAAGCACAGGTGCGTGTGCACCTTTGTTTCATGGATGGCGCAAAAGCATTTAATAAGATATGCTACAAAGACAGATTTGAAATGCCAGAATCTATTTGGGAAAGAATTGTTAGAATAACGCAGAACCTATGCTACGAGCAAACCGCTTGGATGCGGATAGAATAATAAGTTGATTAGTTTGGTTTTATTTTACGGTTTATCAACCTCAAGATTTTTATTGCTGGTAATATTTTTTTCAAATAGATAGATAGATAGAGATAGATAGCGAGATAGATAGATAGAGAGAGAGAGAGGGAGAGAGATAGAGGGAGAGAGAGATAGAAGGAAAGAGATAAAGGGGGAGAGAGATAGAGGAACAGAGATAGAGGGAGAAAGATAGGGAGATAGATAAAGTGAGATATAGATATAGATAGATAGATAGATAGCGAGAGAGAGAGAGGGGAGGGAGGGAGAGAGATAGGGAGATAGATAAAGATATATATATATATATATATATATATATATATATATAGAGAGAGAGAGAGAGAGAGAGAGATTTGGTTGGTTTATTTAGTTTTACGGCATATTAACCTCAATGGTTTATTTAATGCCGAAAAGATTTTTTGTCGCTGGTATCTTTTTTCAAATAATATATATATATATATATATATATATATATATATATATATATATAGAGAGAGAGAGAGAGAAGAAAAGAGATATGGTAGGATATATATAGAGAGAGAAAGAGGGAGAGAGCTAGAGGGAGAGAGATAGAGGTATATATATACCTATATATATATATATCCCGAGGGAAATATAAACGAGAAAAAAAGATACATAGGTATATCCGCCGGTGATTGGAAGCAGCGTCTATACAACCATAGACGCTCATTTAGATATCGATGCCTCAGTAGACAGACTTCCTTATCCAAACACTACTGGGAACTGGTGGATACGGGATTAAACCCAATTTTGAAATGGAGATTCCTATCTAGAGCCAGAACACCTAATAACTTCCGCGATCGGTGTGATCTATGCATGGCGGAAAAAATCTTCATTATCAAAGATAAAAATAGAGATGAGCTGCTGAATCTTCGGAATGAGGTATTCTCTAAATGTAGACATAAGAAAGGTTTCAAAACTTGAACACCGTTGTGTAACATGTTGTCACTTATGTCGGCTCCATCTCGGTCCTATAACATCGGGCATGACATTTTAATTGTATGACTATTATGTTTATCTCTAAATGTACCTTTGTGCACGTTTATGTGATGCGCTATGTATTTATATATATATGTTTGTGTATGTGTGTGCATGTATGTATATGTATGTATATGTATGTGTATGTATGTGCATGTATGTGTATGTAGATATGTATATATATGTATATATATATATAATTTTTTTTTTTTCATACACGCGCAAATATTTGAATCGTCACTTATTTAGATTTTAACTTTTTTTATATATATGTACATGTGTGTATATCTCTGTGTGTATTTATATGTATGTATGTGTATGTGTATGTGTGTGTATATGTGTGTATATTTGTATGTATATGTATGTATGTGTATATATGTGTGTATGTATGTAAGTGTATATATGTACGTATGGAGATGTTTATGTTATGTATGTATATGTATAGGTGTGTATGTGTACTTATGTGTATACATGTTTATGTGTGTGTGTGTGTATATATAGATGTGTGGGGTGTGTATGTATTTGCATGTGTATATATATACATATATAGGGTGTGTATGTATTTGCATGTGTATATATATACATATGTAAGGGTGTGTATGTATTTGCATGTGTATATGTATGTGTATATGTGTGTATGTGTGTGTATATGTATGTATGTATGTGTGTATGTGTGTGTGTGTGTGTGTGTGTGCGTGGATGTATGGGTATATGTGTGTGTATATATATATATATGTGTATGTATATGTATATATGTATGTATAGGTATATATATATATATATATATGTGTGTGTGTGTATGTATATGTATATGTATGTGTATGTGTATGTATAAGTATGTATGTATGTATGAATGTATACATGGGGCATATGTATGCGTGTATATGTATGTGAAAAGTGTGTGTATATGAATATAGATGAATATGTGTATGTGTGGATATGTGAATATATTTTAGGTTTTTGTATATATATATATATATATATATGTGTGTTTGTGTGTGTGTGTATATATATATATATGTATGTATATGTATATATATATGTATGTATATATATATGTGTGTGTATGTATGTATGTATGTGCATGTACACGTATGTCTGGGTGTGTGTGTGTGTGTACATGCCTAAGTGTATGTACCTACTTGTATATTTTTTTTGTGTGTATTAGTATGTGTTTTTGAACATAGAAATATTTGGTCCTTGCGAAATGAGACAATCGTTATATTCATCTTCATATATTTATATTTGATTTAATTTTCCCAATTACGAAGCGGCCCTTTATCCATCCCTCTCCCCAACCCTTTCCCTTTTTTTTTTTTTCCCTTCCTATCCGAATTGTCTGTGGTGTGTATATGTCACCACGAAATGTATCTTTATGTATTAGACATCCGTCGACTTTCTTTCTCTCCTCTTTTTAAATCCACCCCACCCACATCTCAAAAAATTTCTCTGTCACTCATCCTCATACTTACACTTTCTCTAAATTCTGTTTTGATTTCGGAGTTGTTTTTTCTGTTTTCATTTTGAATTTGTAGGTCTGATGATTTGGATCGTATTTACGATTCCAATGGAATAAATTATGACCATGGAATATTAGTGTTTAAGCCTTTTATTATATCCTTACTCTGTCCTAGACATTGAGTTCTACCTGGATCCTTCCTCTTGGAAAATTTTTTTCTGAAAATATACATGTATGGATTTTTTAGATATATTTTTCATATGTATGTATATTTTCCACTAATATATATATATATATATATATATATATATATATATATATATATATATATAGAGAGAGAGAGAGAGAGAGATTTGGTTGGTTGGTTGGTTGGTTGGTTGGTTGGTTGGTTGGTTTATTTTGTTTCACGGCATATTAACCTCAATGGTTTATTCAATATCGAAAAGATTTTTATCGCTGAAAATATTTTTTGCAAATATATATATATACAAAGAGAGAGAAAGAGTGAGAGGAAGAGACATAGAGAGAGAGAGAGATAGAAGGAGAGATATAGAATTAGAAAGAGATATGGATATAGATAGATAGATAGATAGATAGCTAGATAGATAGATAGATAGAGTGGTTTGGTTAGGTTTATTTTGTTTTACGGCATATCAACACCTCAATGGGTTATTTAATGCCGACAAGATTTTTATTGCTGGTAATATCTTTTTTTTTCGAATAGATAGATAGATAGATAGATAGATAGATAGATATTGGTTTGGTTTGGTTTGTTTTACGGTATATCAACCTCAAAGAGTTATTTAAAGCCGACAGTATTTTTATTGCTGGTAATATTTTTTCAGATCGATAGAGAGAGAGAGAGGGAGAAAGATAGAGCGTGAGTGATTGCGATAGATAGATAGATAGATAGATAGATAGATAGATAGATTAGTTTGGTTTTGTTTGGTTTACTTTACGTCATATCAACCTCAAAGAGTTATTTAAAGCCGACCAGATTTTTATTGCTGGTAAGATTTTTCACAAAAATGTATTGCTGGTAAGATTTTTCTTTTTAAAAAAATGTACTGCTGTAATTTTTTCTTCAGAAGTGTATTACTGGTAATAATATACCCCCCAAGTATTGCTGCTATTAAAACCTATTTTTATACTTTTATAGCGTTTTGACTCGTTTGGGTGGTTTAACTATTTACCCATAGCTGGGACCCTGAGAGGTGCTACCACCTCGGGTCATGGTGGACCTGAGAACAACAGCAATCTACGTTCTTCAAAACCTGCTGACCAGAAGCCTTACTGCCGGATGTAGTTTATCGTCTTTCCCAGGACGCGGATGTTGTTTATCGTCTTACCCGGGACGCGGATGTAGTTTATTGTCATACACAGGATGCGAAAATGAATTTAGTAAGTACACAAAAAAAGAAGGGGTTTTTAATGCAAGGACGCCTTCCTGTCGGATTTATTCAACTTCTACAACGAAGCTATGCTAAGTTCGAGAATGAATGATATTAATAATGATAACTTCACATCACACAAATTCAGACAAAAATAGTTCCTATTACGAACAATAAAAAAAAAACTTATCAAAATGATTAAAATATTTTGATCACTTTGGAGAAGCAGGTAATGTTGAAAACGCTTCAGCACTATCTATCTATCTATCTATCTATCTATCTATCTATCTATCTATCTATCTATCTATCGCTGTCTGATTCTGTTTCTATCTATCTAGCGTCGGAAAAATAATATAAGATTTTAAACACGCACAGTATACACAACACATTTTCGTTATCCATCTGATGAAGCCATATAGGCGAAATACAATATCGGATATTATTTTCGAAACCTACTTTCATGAACGTTTTTCAAATGTCAATAACTTGTAACTCTGTCGGGATTACATATCTAAATTTATTACATAATATCCATCTAATTTTGTTTCTATCTATCTATCTATCTATCTATCTATCTATCTATCTATCTATCTATTTCTTACTATTTTATCTCTTTCAATCTATCGATCTATCTATCAATTTATAGGTATTATTTTGTTCCTATCTATCTATCTATCTATCTATCTATCTATCTATCTATCTATCTACAAACCAAAGTATTGGTTAAACCTATGCTTGCGTCATTGCCAATACAAAGCCAGTCAAACGATTGCACTGCAAGTGATAAAAGTAAAGAAAAATCAAGAACCATTAAACAAAGGAACCAGCAGAAAAAAGCGAGAAAAATAGACAAAGGAAATAAAGACGGAAAAAAGACGAAACGAAAGAACAAAAACCTGTCTATGCCATTATAGACACATTACTCAATGTCCCAATCAACTAAGACAGAAGAAACCGCTAACCGGTGACACTACCAACAAAAAGGAACTCAAATTCGAAATGCTACTCTATCTATCTATCTATCTATCTATCTATCTATCTATCTATCTATCTATTCCTAATAGTTCTCTATCTTTCTCTCCCTATCTCTCTATCGATCTCATTCTATTCCCGACTGTTACTGCCATCTTCCTTGTTCATTTATTAAGCTTAGCTGAGGTAAACACATGGCTGAATATAGAAGAGGGTGTTGCGTCAATTTTTTTCCAGGTCAGATGGGCTTATCCAGTGCTTTTCAATTAGATAATTCCATAGGTGAAGTGGTACAGTGGCGGAGGGTAAGCAACTATTTCATTCTCCCCTACTTTTCTCTTTCTCTCTCTTAGTCTGTTCATATCTATCTATCTATCTATCTATCTATCTATCTATCTATCTCAATCTGTTCATTTCTATCTCAATCTGTTCATTTTTTTCTATCTATCTATCTATCTATCTATCTATCTATCTCATTCTATTCCTATCTATCGAAGTTATCGATGAGATTTCTACATTCGCGCTTGATTTAATAATGCAACTTTTGTATTCGCTAAATGGAAGAAAATAAGCATAATGGGTTTTTCTACTCAAATATTTTAACTATAGGCGCATTGGATTATACTAAAATCATCCAGCTAGTAAAAAAATAAAAGAATACTTTATTAGTATTTTTAGGCATTTATTTAACTTATCTTTGTTTGGTACTAGTCCAAAATGTATAGGGGTCGATTTTTGAAGAATTATTCCCACCTACAACCCCATTCTCATAGACGAAATATCGCAAACCTATCGCTGCTCTATAAGTTTCATGAAAAGTCTTCAGAACTAAAATCCTTAGTTCTATGAGTTCTAACCTTTCCGGTTAAAAGCCGCCATGACATGCCCATTGTAGCGAACTTCCTTCCTTACCTTCGTATTCCATTGTTGAGATGTAAGCTCCACTCGATCAGCTTCTGCCCACGAACTGTTACTTTGTGGAACCGACTCCCAAGAGGATGTTTCCCTGATACTTACACTCTTAACCTGTTCATATCTAGGGTTTGTTATATTCCCTACATATTTGCATAAGCCGTGTCTCTTATTCTTTAACCCTCTACCTTTAGCGGCTCTCGAAACTTGCACTAGGTGGACATTAATATAAAAAAAAAAAACGCCCAATTATTACCCACTACGTTTAGGTATTCATTGACCGAGCAGCAAGTGCTACTGTCGGCTGAAATTTATCAAATCCTTCTCTAAAAATAATTTTAAAGAAAATAGTTTTCTGATGACCACTAACTGTTATGGCTCTTTCTTAGGAAATTGCCTTCCTAATCTTTTCTTTGAAATGTCGCGGAATGTCAGAATCTTAGGTCATTATTTTCCTTACGAGTTGCATGTGATATCTATATTTATCTAGCTACTGTTTTTGGAAAACGTTCATGTGACGTGATTATTGCTATTTCGTACAATCCTTTATTTTGTGAATATGTAGCCAAGTTCAAAGAAGGATCGTTCTCACCATGGTGATGGATTTATTTTTTACGGTTTATCAACACTTTATGAGTTATTTAAAGCGAAAAACAATGCTCTTTTAAAAAAAAACCTCATACACTTTAACCCATAGTAGGAGGAGGATATGGATGCATATCTCTTCCAAGGGTTTATGCAAGTAAATGAATGCAAGGAGTCCAAATGAAATTCAAACTCGGCTCCCCGTCGTCTTCGCTAAGACCTACAGGTATCAATCATTTGAGGGCAATTGCAAAACCCCTTTAGAAAAACTGGTTCTGTAAACATAAACGTTTATATATATTTATATATTTATATATATATATATATATATATATATATTGAACAATAAAAATATTAAAAAATTAAAATCTTCAAACACACTGGGTTGTAGATTAATATTCTTCTGTTTTTTTATTATTATTTCATTTAGGTTCCTCGACTAGTTTCGGCAAACATGGCCATCATCAGGAGAAGAAATATTTCTGCTTGCTGGTAGCAGTAAACTACAGAATTGAATGTCTTGATGGAGAAAATGAACTTTTGTCTGTAGTTTTCCTTTGTTTTTTTTTTATTTTTTTATCTTTTTAACATGAGTCTTTTAACATTCCTTGTGTTGGCCAAACAGTCTCTTTTAAGTTGTTATTTGAGATAAGAGCTGGATGGATCTATGCTGCTCTGAATTCCCCTGGTCAGTTTGACAGTTTTATTGGTCCTGGAGAGGGGATGTGTCTCTGTTTAGTGTTTGTGTGTGTGTTATTTGGTTCTTAGGGGTGAGTGAGTATGATATGTGTAAGCGTGTGTATTATTTGTGGGTGTGTGTTATCATTTGGCTCATTAGGGAGTGCGTGAGTATGATGTGTGTAAGTGTGTATATTCGTGTGAGTGTGTATAAGTGTGACGCCTTACATATATATATATATATATATATATATATATATATATATATATATATATATATATATATATATTACAATGAATCATTCATACAAAAAGTAAATTAGTAAAGTTAATGATATAAAATGGCGAAATCCCTTTGCTAACAAAATTTTAAAGGTGCATTAAAATACAAATCACTCGATGAATGTTATGAATCTTGTTTTTTAAATTTACTAATTTACTTTTTGAATGAACGATTCATTGTAATTATTTTAAGACATTTTTATGTTTATACCTGTATCCTATACGGAACCGTCATATAGCCTGCTTTTACCTATTTTGCCACAGAGGAGCGTTCGGTTAGCAAGGTCGATTTTACTGTTTTTAAACTACAATTTCCCACCATTTTCTCACGTACATTCATATCTGCTCGACGTAGACGTATGAAATGGACAAAGTCCGACAATTATTTTAAGACATTTTTATGTTTATACATTCTTTTTATAGCTACAAATATTTAAGTAAATGCTCTGTTTATAATAAACAGAATTAAACAACATATACAGGCCTGAATGTCCGAGAAATTGTCATAGAAAATATGCGTCCTCCGACAGGAATCGAACCTGTATCCTATACGGAACCGTCATATATTTATTAAAAATAAACTTTGTCCATTTCATAATGTGTGACGTCATTTGTTTACATTTGGAGACGTAACGAGCAGATATGAATGTACGAGAGAAAATGGTGGAAAATTGTAGTTAAAAACAGTAAAATCGACCTTACTTACCGGAACGCTCCTCTGTGGCGAAATCGGTAAAAGGACGTCAGGTTATATGACGGTTCCGTATAGGATACAGGTTCGATTCCTGTCGGAGGACGCATATTTTCTATGACAATTTCTCGGACATTCAGGCTGGTAAATGTTGTTAATACTGTTTATTATAAACAAAGAATTTACTTAAATATTTGTATCTATAAAAAGAATGTATAAACATAAAAATGTCTTAAAATAATTGTCGGACCTGGTCCATTTCATAATGTATTCCTTGTAATATAAATTGAACTGCACCACATATTTGACTAACGTATATATATATATATATATATATCTCAGTGTGTTCAGATCTATCTATCACATTTTGTTAATATCTATCTATCTATCTATCTATCTATTTCTGTATGCATGTAGCTATCTATTTTAGTCTCTCCAGATCTAACTCTATGACAGTCGGTTCATTATCTATTGCAGTTAGTTCATATCTATCTATCTATCTATCTATCTATCTATCTATCTATCTATCTATCTGTCTCAGCTTATTAATTATCTATATGTCAGTCTGTTCATCTATCTATCTATCTATCTATCTATCTATCTATCTATCTATCTATCTATCTCAGCTTATTAATTATCTATATGTCAGTCTGTTCATCTATCTATCTATCTATCTATCTATCTATCTCAGCTTATTAATTATCTATATGTCAGTCTGTTCATCTATCTATCTATCTATCTATCTATCTATCTATCTATCTCAGTATGTTTATATCTCTGTATCTATCTATGTTCATTTTCTTTCTTTCTATTCTAGCATGTAATTATCAGTCAATCAGTTTCTTTGTCTCTCATTGTATTACAATAGTTAAAGTTACAATCTTTTCTCTTTCATTCTCTTTTTCGTTTTCTTTTTTTCTCCGTACGGTTTTGGCTTTCAAACCTATCTTTAATCATAAAATTTGATCTGTTTGCTTTCAGACCGAGAACCGATGTACAATGGCTTCCACAAAGAGTCCAGACGGAAATGAGATGTACAACTGAGAAACGTCAAGATGAAGCACTTGACCGAACTTGAATACTGGACATTTTTGATCAAGATGAGTCCCCATTTATTTGAAACTGTCAACACAGAAAGACATTTTTAGTTAACTATTGGTAGATTGGATATATCGACAAATATAGATATCTTCAAAATTTAACATTGTTTAGCAACGATCAAATTACCTCGTCTACAGTCTCTTTCTCATCGACGTGCTATGGCTTCCCTCTGTCTTTTCTACAAATATTTTCATTGCAACTGCTAAGATGAGCTACTTTCAGTGGTTCCCCAACTGCATGAATTTAAGCGTGCTACTAGGTTGGCATCTCGGTCTCACCCTTTCACTGTCGAAACAGTTAAATGTAACCGCCTTTTCTACTCCAACATCTTTTTCTCTCGCACTTCCCGACAGTGGAACTCCCTTCCTCTTACACGCTTCCCTGATAGCTATAATCTTCAAATATTCAAATGTAATATCAATCGACATCTTTTGACGCCTTGGTCTTGATCCTCATCCTTCTCTATATCCTATCCTCAAACACACCTCTTTATTCTTGTTCTCACTCTCTGTAACCCCTTGCGCGCTATTGGCACTCCCACCTTGCTTGGGGAAAATGCTTAAGAACATGTCGGAAGAATGTGATGCAATATATTTCCGAATGGAAAGACATTTCCTTTAAAATTCAAATATGTGTGTGCACATACTTGGAAATGCATATGTGATTATGTGGGTGTTGCAGCATATGCGTGTTGTGTATGTGTGCGTGTACTTTATCTTTCATTATGTGTACATTGAGGGACTGAGATTGGCACCGAGTAAACAGTTGTAAGGTTATCCCGTGAAAACGTAAATTCTCTCATTTCTTTTTCACACTTTGTGTTTGCTTTAATTGATCCCTAATAAGTACCGTTTTCTTCACTTGAATTTCCATATCTATCTATCTATCTATCTATCTATCTATCTATCTATCTATCTATCTATCTATCTATCTATGTCAGCCTGTTCGTTATCTATGTCAGTCTGTTTATATCTCTCTATCTCTCTATCTCTCTATCTATCTATCTATGTCAGTCTGTTTCTTTCTTTCATTCTTCCTTTCTTTCTTTCTAGCTATGTCAGTCTGTTTCTTTCTTTCTTTCTTTCTTTCTTTCTTTCTTTCTATCTATCTATCTATGTCAGTCTGTTTCTTTCTTTCATTCTTTCATTCTTTCTTTCTTTCTTTCTTTCTTTCTTTCTATGTCAATCTGTTTCTTTCTTTCTTTCTATCTATGTCAGTCTGTTTCTTTCTTTCATTCTTTCATTCTTTCGTTCTTTCTTTCTTTCTTTCTTTATTTATTTCTTTCTTTCTTTCTTTCTTTCTTTTTATCTATCTATCTATCTATGAATGCACAGCGGTGTAATGGATAACGAATGAGAAATCTATGTACCGGGTTCGTATTTCTAGTCGCTTTCTTTACATCAAACATACGTGCAAATAACATTGGGAAAGATATGAATACATCTCTTCTCCCCCTCACTGTGGGTAAATAGTAAGACAGACTGGACTCTGTAACCTTGGTTGGCAAAAATTCACGGAGAAGGAAAAGTCTGAATTCAAAACAGCCTGGTGCCTCTGCAAGTGTTAGATATAATCTGCTTCATTTGACACATCGTAATTATGTTAAGATAATTAGGACTAAAAAAAAAAAAACACAGAGGACATAAACATAACACATATAATGAAATTAAATCGTTTTAAGCTGCTCGGATATTTATTGCCAATGATGTGATAGGCTTTCGGTAGAGGAAATGACGTTTGTGTCGTATGTACGAAGTAAAAGGCATGAGTCAAAATAAGATTAACCCTTGAATTTCCGAAAATGGATAGTCCCCCGGCGTCTTCCACCGACGACAACTGAACAATAAATGTGACACACCGCGTGCTATATACCTTGGCTGAGTCAGTAGAGTAGTATGAGGGGGGCGGAAATAAACGATTTGCCAACTAGTAATTACGATTACCTTAATCTGGGGATAAAAAACACCACATGTGACTAACGCAGATTTAATGGAGATAACGTCCTAACCACGAATCGTCGTAGGTCAGGACATAGATAGATAGATAGATAGATAGATAGATAGATAGAAGCAGAATGACATAGATAGATAGATAGATAGATAGATATGAAAAGACTGAGATAGATAGATAGATATTGATAAATGGATTGAGATAGATATGGACACATTGAGATAGATAGATAGATAGATAGATAGATAGATAGATAGATAGATATGGACGGATTGAGATAGATTAGCTAGAAGCAGATTGAGATAGATAGATAGATAGATAGATAGATAGATAGATATGAAATGACTGAGATAGATAGATAGATAGATAGATAGATAGATAGATAGATAGATAGATAGATAGATAGATATGAAAAGACTGAGATAGATAGATAGATATTGATAAATGGATTGAGATAGATATGGACACATTGAGATAGATAGATAGATAGATTGATAGATAGATAGATAGATATGGACGGATTGAGATAGATTAGCTAGAAGCAGATTGAGATAGATAGATAGATAGATAGATATGAAATGACTGAGATAGATAGATAGATAGATAGATAGATAGATAGATAGATATGAAAAGACTGAGATAGATAGATAGATAGATAGATAGATAGATAGATAGATAGATATTGATAAACGGATTGAGATAGATATGGACACATTGAGATAGATAGATAGATAGATAGATAGATATGGACGGATTGAGATAGATTACCTAGAAGCAGATTGAGATAGATAGATAGATAGATAGATAGATAGATATGGAAATCCAAGCGAAGAAAACGCTCCTTATTAGGGAACAATTAAAACAAACAAAAACCGGGGACTTACTGTATCTATGAACATGCTATCTCTGATATTGAACACCCTTCCTCTATGAATATTGTAAATTGTAAACATCCTTGATACATTTGTGGCTGTCATTTTCGTCAAGGATAACATGTCTAAGTGCCGTTTTATCGTGACATGAAAAAATAACTCACCCACCCTCTGACCTTATTTTTCTAATTAGCGTAGATCTGATTGGTTAATCGAGACACATACCCACATGTATATTTTTAATTCTGACCTTATGCTCCCCCCGCTTTAACTTTCGGAAAAGGGGTAACGATTTGTTTTTAAATTTACCTAAAAAATCAGGTTTATCACCAGCAGTGGCGTAGCTAAGGGGGAAGAGGGGGGACGGACCGCCCCGAGTGACAGCACAGGAGGGGTGACACAATGTCACCCTCAACAAAATTTTTCAACCAGGCTAAGGTGCCAAAAATAGTTTGAAAACAGTGGTGGAGACACAGGGTTTCGAAGGCGGGCATATGACCCCCCCCCAGAAATAATTTATGACCCCCCAATTTTGTACCCCTGTCAGAAATTTTCTAATAAATTGTCGGGAAATTTGTGAGTAGGAAAAATAGCAATGTTTTCAGCTTTTGATTTGAACTGATTATTTTGTGGTATTGGATTTTGTCTTGGATCATACATGTAAACAATAACGTACCGGTCAGTAGAGTAAAGTAGAGGTAGAGCATGTATGAAAATTTAGCTACAGCTAACCATTCAGCATAGGGTGAATCGGGGTCATTTGGGTGCCATTTGAGCGGACCGACCCGGGTGACGTTTACTCTAGTTACGCCACTGATCACCAGTTACCAACCATCGTCTGAGGAAGTACAATCATGGTATTAAAACATGAAAGTTTTTTTGTAGCTTAAAACAGCTTTTGTATAGCTTATTTAAAATGTTTTTTATTATATATATATATATATATATATATATATATATATATATATATATATATATAAACTTGTCTAAAAATAGTTTTTAATACCAGAAATACTTTGTAATAAAAATGATTCTTACCAGCAATAATTTTTGAAGGAAAAATTGTTATCAGCAATACTTTAAAAAAATACCAGCAGTACAAACAGCTATACATTCTTTGGAAAATATATGACCAGCTATAGATTTCTTCAAGGAAAAATATTCCCAGAAATAGATTTTGAAAAAAACATATTACCAGCAATAAAAATGTTGCCGGCAGAATTGAGGTTGATTTAAAAACAAAATAAAAAAACCAATTAAACAAAAAGAATACATAATCTATACGAATCTAAAAATGTTGCCGGCATTAAATAACCCATTGAGGTTGATGATAAAACAAAATAAACCAAACCAATCTAAACCAAAAGAATAAACTAAATAACCTAAACTAAAATGTCGTAAACATTAAATAACCCATTGAGGTTGATATTAAAACTAAATAACCCAAACCAATCTAAACCAAAGAATCATATTCTAAAAATGGTATCCTAAAAATGGTGTCGGCATTAAATAACCAATTGAGGTTGATATGCCGTAAAACAAAATAAATCAAACCAATCTAAACCAAAGAATACATATTCTATTCTTACGAATCTATCCTAAAAATGGTGTCGGCATTAAATAACCCATTGAGGTTGATATGCCGTAAAACAAAATAAACCAAACCAATCTAAACCAAAGAATACATATTCTATTCTTACGAATCTATCCTAAAAATGGTGTCGGCATTAAATAACCAATTGAGGTTGATATGCCGTAAAACAAAATAAATCAAACCAATCTAAACCAAAGAATACATACTCTATTCATAGGAATATATCCTAAAAATGCTGTCGGCATTAAATAACCAATTGAGGCTGATATGCCGTAAAACAAAATAAATCAAACCAATCTAAACCAAAGAATACATATTCTATTCTTACGAATCAATCCTAAAAATGTTGTCGGCATTAAATAACCCATTGAGGTTGATATGCCGTAAAACAAAAAACAAACCAAACCAAATATAATTAATGTATATTTGAGCAGTAACCTTTATTTTCTTCATGTTTCGTTAAATGTGACAGACATAGAACATTTAATTAATATTTTATTTATTTTTTTCAGCTTGCTTTCATTTTCCCATTTAGTGGGGGTGCAAAAATTGCCCATATTGTCCATTGTCCCAAGCGCTTTCGGCCACTTCTTCATCCATTTTCAAGAAGGTTTATTTTTATGTGTTGTTAATTTCCCTACATGTTTAACTGTTTACGATGTATTTTTTTGTTGTTTACAATATTAGTAGCAGCGTTTATTCCGAGCTTTTGTGCGCTGACCTTAGCTGAAATTAAAGTGAATTAAAAAAAAAAAAACTTTCAACACATCACTACCACTGTTAAATAAAATTGAGGTTGATAGTGGGAAAGAGCTGTTTAATATACAGAGCCTCGCATATAGTGAGATGTTTCTGGTAATGTGATTTATATAGAATGTTAGTGTTTTCGACTAGAATTTTTCTTAAGCTTTTTTGTAATATAGAAATATTTTGTCAGTGGAAAATTTGTTAGTTCTTTTTTTTATTTTAAAAAATATAGTTATTTACTGTGCAGTGAGTTTTTAGAATTAAAAGACAAAAAGGTGAGGAACATGTCGAGAGAGATCCGTTGTAAATTCTATATCAGATGTGGAAACTAAATGGATAAATATTATTCAGTTTGTGACCACACATTATGTTAAATTATGATTTTGCTTTAAGTCAGTTGCGTGGAAACTACTTTTATTTTTATTTTTCCCTTCATTTTTTGTCGTTAAATACTTAACACATTTGATAGGTTCAGTATTTTCACCTAGAGCTAAAATAAAGAATTTTTCAACTTATTTTATGATATTATGAGAAGGAATCGGCATTCCTTCAATGTAATTGTCACATTTTGACATATAATAAAAGAGGCCATTTTTTCTGCATTAAGTGAAGCATTTTGGCTTTATTTTTCTATTAGGAAAGCAATTATTTGACTTTTCGCCTTAAGGAATTATGACCTAACCAGGAAATGACAAAAATAAACGCAATTATTTAAATTTTAACGACACGAGGAGAAATAATGGATATTTAGAAAGTTTGGTATCAAATGGCACAGTGTCAAATGAGTTGAACAAATAGATTGAGTTACGCCAGTCTTAGTAATATCTATTTTCGTTGCAAATCAGCATTAATCAGTCTACTGAGTCAACACTGACAAATACGCAAGTACTCTACAAACGCCTAACCGTGTATCACGCATGATACACAATTGACTGACTGGTCGAAGGCCAAGCTGATCTACGAGGGAGAGACCCCCGATCCACCGGCTATCATTATTGGCAGTGATCCCGTCAAGTCTGCCACATCTTTCGTGTGCTTAGTCTCAGAAATTTCTATTACTTTGACTTCATCATGCAGATTAAGAGAAGACTTGGGCTGGCTACAAGCGTCATAGGGGCCCTCTCGAGACCTTTAAAGCGGCGTCGTGACAACTTCCGGAGCAC